GGCCTCGCCCTGGGCGGGCCTCCAAAGAGGCAGGTTTCCCAAGAGGCAGGCTTCCCAAGAGGTTTCCCCAGCCTTCCCAGAGGTTTGTAAAGAACTTCCCGAGAGGCCTGTTGGGGGTCTCCGCTCCGAAAGGCGGCCTCTCATGGCTTATAAAGGGCCTCCGAGCCTTTAGAATTCCGAAGCTTGAAAACCTTTCACTCCAGACTTCCTCCCTCCTCCCTCCCTCCCTCCCTCCTTCCCTGCCCCCCCTCCTTCCCCTCCTTCCCTCCCATTATTGAAGCTTCGAGATTCAACTGGGTCTTGGAGTGTGAATCCTTGGGTTCCAGAGCTTACGGTCTCGATCGCTGGGTACCTCCCCCCCCTCCCACAGCCCTACTTTTAAGTCGGGCACGTCCCTCCGCAGGAAGTATATCCGAAAATCGTCAAAACATCGTTTTTTTTGTTTAAAAAAAAATATCATCCAAAAATAGTAACGTTGACCATTTGGGAGTAATTTGTGTATTTGTTTTGTATTTCTCGTCCAGAATCCGCCAGTAGGGGGACATGCCCGACCCAACTCTGCTTCTCTGAAGGGGAAACATAGGGACAAACACACTTCATCAGATCTCCCAATGGACATACAGTTGGCCCAGATTAGCAGGTCGACCCTGCCGAATCAAGGGTACCTTTTGTGTCCTGCGTCTCGCGACCCATGCCTCCTACATTCAGTGGCGCTCGGAAGGGTCTTGTGTCCTCTCGCGTGTCCTGTCCAATCGAGTCCGACTGTGTGGGAAACCGGTACGGGCTCGACGAACATCAGTCACAGACGTGTTTTTCCCCCTCACGGTTGAGAGTCGTGCGCTTTGTGCATCTCCATTCAGGAGGGAAAGAGCACAGACACAATTATAATCGTCGATACCCCAGAACATATGGGGAAACATGGGCAGCGCGGGGGAAGACAAAGACCCAGAAAGCAGAGGAGAATATATAGGGAATCCTGATGTGTGCGTGTGTTTGTGTGTGTGTGTGCGTGTGTATGTGTGTGTGTATGTGTATGTGTGTGTGTGTGTGTTTGTGTGTGTGTGTTTGACACTGCACCCCCCTTTTTCCTCCCCCTTCCCTGGTTAATTCAAGCTTCGCGCGGCCCGCTTAGCTTGGACTGGAAGAGGTGCGCTCTTGACCCGCGAATTAAAGACGTGTGTGCGTTTCTTTGTGTGTCCGAGGGCCCCCTCACTTCAGTGCTGCCTCCCCCGGCCCCTCCCCCGGCTCGAGGGCCGAGGCCCCCGCACGCCCCCGCCCGGCACGCCCCCGCCCATGCCCGACCAGCCCCCCGGCGGCGCGCCCCGATGCCGCCTGCTCCTCGCGCTGGCCGCCTGCGCTGGCCTCGGCCTGCTCTGGAGCGCAGGTCGGGCCGAACGAAAGGGGGGGAGGTGGGAAAGGGGGGGTTACGAAATTTGCGGCGTGCAGCTGGTTTCGGCCCCGCCTCCGGGCCCATTCCTCGATACGTGGGCGCCTCCTGGCGCTGGGAGGCGCCGGGAAAATCAGCTACGTGAGCTGATTCTCACCCCCCCCTTTGCTATCCCCCCCCTTTCGCCCGGCCCGATCAGGGGCGAAGTTGCCAAAGACTCTGGACGCGCTCGTTTCAAACGGCTTCGTTGGCACCGGCTTCGTTTCAAACGTTCGTTTCAGACGCTGGGCCCCGTATCGTTGCTCGCTTCTAAGCGCCATTTTGCTTTAAACATCGTTGTGGTCGGTCCCAGGTCAAAAGCGACACTCCCCATCGTCACCCGACTCTTTGCAGCACCAAGGTTCGGATGCAACTCCTGAGATGTCAAATTCTAATTTTGCCCTGGTCCGAAATCCAGCTTGATCCCGCTTAATCCCGCGTAATCCCGCTTAATCTCGCTTAATCCCGCTTAATCCGGCTACATCCGGCTTAATCCGAGGCCCACTCAGGCGTAACAGCCCCCCAATGGGGCTTAACCCTATTTAGTATTTCCGACGAAACCCTCCCAGTAGTTGCCTCCTAAGGGCCGACGTTGCCAAAACCGTGGACGCGCTAGCGGTAATGTAGGCAGCGGCGATAGAGGCTTCGGCATTGCAGCTGGGACGGGTTCGTGGCCAGACCCACTGTGGGACATGGTGGCTCGCGCTTTCCTGCAATTCCCTGCGTCGAACTCGCTCGATGCATTCGCACACTTAAAATGTAGGAACGTGTGCGTCGCGATGTCCTGCAATTTGTTCTGCGCGAGCTCGGCATCACAACAACCAGATTCCCAACATCGCCGTTAACCAACATCGCCGTTTAGCGCGGCTTTGGTAAGACCCCCTGGAGCGATGGGAACAACGACGGGCGTTATTTTTTTTGTTCGGTTTCGGAGGGGGGGGCCTTACCGGGCTCCTGGGGCGTCAAAAGATAACTCGGGATGAACAGACGGTCCCGGGGAGTGATCCGAGGCCCGCGGGGGTCGACGTTGTTCGAAAACATGGCGCCACGGGTCTGGGTTGGGGTGATACAGGCACGTCAGACAAATCTGGGGAGCAGCAGATACCGATTCTGGTGTTCGTCCTGGAGCCCCCGCTCCGCCACGGTTGAATTGTAGTCGAGATTCTGGTAAGACTGCACCCTTGGAGATGCCCGGGGAGTGGCGGACGCTCAGGACTGCACAACCAAAAGGGGTGGTCTGATTTAGGAGTGGGTCAAGTTTGAGCTGTCTTGGAGGGTTCTGGGGTCTTTGGGCAAAAGGCCGCCCTCTCATAGCTGGCTTGGGGGTCTAAAATGCTTCGTCTGGGAGGATTGTGACCCGCCCCACACCCGACGACGACGATGACGACGACGACGACGACGACGACGACGACGACGACGACGACGGCGACGACGACGACGACGACATCATGAAAGTCGGACTGCACCTGTGCCTCCCCTAGAAGAAGCCAGCCTGCCAGCAGGTGCCCCACGAAGGCGTTTGCATCCCCTGATGGCCCCGGTGGCCCACGGAAGCCCTGGGGCACCTCGAGATCCCCAGTGATCGACGAAGGATGTGCCCGAAGATATCCTGTATGACGATTTCTTATCGCACGTTTACTGTTCTTATCGCATGTTTACTGGAGGCTCGGGATGCATCGGTCCCCCGACGCCCGTTCGTCGCCGATGGTGGCCCGATAGCCCACCGCGCTCGGGAACGTGCGCATGCGCTGTCACGGGCCTAGGCCTAGCGCCGATCTGTTGGCGATATGAACCGCCGATGCTGGGTCGATGCTTCCCCGCGTGGGCCAGGCCCCTCCCTAGCCCAGACCCCGACGTCGTGATTTTTTTTTTTTGGAACGCAGAACCCTGGAGGTCTCGACCCCTTCCCTGGGACAGTTTTTCATCTGGGGCCCGTTTTTTGCTGCTTCTGGGGTCCGGCGATGACCCCCAGAGGCGGAAAATGGGAAAAGACCTTCCGATGTGCTTGTTTCCTTCAGGGGCGTCCCCAGGGGTCCCGACCCGTTCCCCAGGGGTAGCTTTTCGTCACGGATCCGTTTGGGATGTTTCTGGGGCCCTATTGCGGGCTCCGTTTGGGATGTTTCTGGGGCCTTATTGCGGGCTCCGTTTGGGATGTTTCTGGGGCCCTCTTGCGTCGGACGCGCAGACACATACTAGTACTATATATATATATATATATCCTCTTTGGAGGCGCGCGTCCGACCCTAACGTATAGTATACACATCTTGTAGTATATCGTTTCCCCAGTGGTGCAGCCAAAAAGCGCCCGCCACGACGCATATACTAGAAGATTTCTCGGTGCGCGCGTCGCCCAAGGGGGGGGCGACGCACCTATAGTATAAGCATGCTGGGGTGGCGTCCATTGCGGGCCCCATATGCCGAAGTCTAGAAAAGCAAACCGGACCGGACAATGTCTACCATCGGATATCGTCCTCGCCATCGGAAGCCCACAACGGACGAGAAACACCAGCGAAGGCCGCCGTGGTCTCTCGGCCCGTGCCCCCCCCAAAAACGTTCCCTCTCCCTCGAGATCCGACCTCCGCCTCCTCCTCCTCCTCCTCCTCCTCCCTCCTTCCTCCTCCACCTCCTCCTCCTCCCTCCTCCCTCCTCCTCCTCCTCCTCCTCCTCCTCCTCCTCCTCCTCCTCCTCCTCCTCCTCCTCCCCC